CTTGACAGAGGGAAGTCGAAAAATCCTCAGCGTTTGTCTCAACTAAGCAAACTATGGGAATCTTTTTCTAATTTTTCAAACTGTTGGATTTTACTTTGATGTCTTTATGGTCAATAGTTCATTTTTCTCCAAAAATCAAAACGAACAAGCGAACAGGTAAAGCACAGCAGGCAACCTATCATGCCGGTGCACACAGTGACACCGGCCGGCAGACGTGCACTGCCCGCCCCGCCATGCGCCTGTGCGCCCTAATACAGCTGGGGGCAGCCCAGCCTGAGCGCCAGCCCCAAGCTCATCACTGAGGACGTCCCCCCCTTCACCTGCCTGAGGAGAACAAGGAAGGTTCAGAGAGTCCAGACGGGCACCAGAAGAGGAAACCAAAGAGAGCTCTGGTACTTCAGCGGGAGTCACCCTTAGGAACCACCAAAGGCAGCCATTAATCCTTAATCGTGCTCCCTCCAAAATCCAGAAGCCCCAGCTTTACATTAAAAACACACAAAGGAGTATCAAGCAGAAAGTACTACAACTAAGGCTTTGTTACCCAGGAATCTCTTTAGGAAGATAATTAATAGCTTCTTGTGCCAATGAAGAGAGATTTCCGGAAGGTTTCCCTGAGGTCACATATGTTCTCCTATTTATTTTGGCTTCACATTTCCTCTCAGCAAACCAAACAACAATAACAACAAGACATGCCCAGGAGGCAACACAAGCTTCAGGCACCAGCCAAGCTCTAACAGTTGCTGACCCAAAAGTCAAGAAGAGGGTAAGACATTCAATAACCCCTTTGCCAGTGCAGTGGTCAAATACCCTTTAACACTTGGGAATCCATGGTTAAGGCCAAACCTCACTTTTTTTATTAGTTTGGACAAGTTCTCTAGAGTTTCTGTAGTTTCTTCAAGATTCCAGATTTCTCTTTTAAAAATTGCACCTTTGTTACAGAGCTTTGAAAGGAAAGCTCCCTAGCTCTGACAGAAGCACATGTTCATAGGGGTGACGTACAGAGGGTGACGGAGCAGCATCTTGTATCTGAGGAACCTGTGGAAGATGCTTCTCTTTAGCCCAGCTCCCCATCCTGAGGATCAGCAGCCATTTCCCCTGTTGGCACAGAGGTTCATGACATTCTCTGAGGCTACTGTTTCCCGATAGCACACATGGAGAGCAGAAATGGGTCCCTGCCCCATAACTGATACGCTGGGTGACCCTGGGTGAGCGGCCACGCCTCTGAGGATCTCACGTTCCTCCTGCACAAGATGGAGGTGCCAACAGCAGCAAAGGCACTTGGTTGCTGGGATGAGTAAGTACAATGATGGACCGAAACCCTCAGCATGCCACTGAGTTAACAGTAAGTGCTTACTATTTGCATCCTGTTATTATTCAGGTTCTGTTCTCCTCCACTTTGCTCTTGGACACTGGGGCCTTCTCCTCGAACCCCTTCACTCAATCGAGGACAATCTACACTGTCCAGCACTAAGCAAGCTCACTTCCAGTTCTGGAAATCAACACCCAATGTGTTCAGTAGAATGTATCTTTTTTATAATAAACATGCATTTTCAGGAAAAAAAGTCTACTACTTTAACAAAATTACAATTATTTGGAAATGAATGACTTCAATGTTTTTCAAGCTCCCTATAACTCAAGCACATGGCACAAGTGGGGGTGACCCTGGGACCTTTCTCGGTCTCCCAGATGGCCATTGCTCACCTTCTCCCCTGTCCTCAAAGTCCAACATCCTTCCCCACCTAACTCTGAACTGAGGATGTGGCTTCCTAACTCTGAGGGTCACCTGTCCACAAGCTCCTGCCACCACACCCTCCCAGCCACTGCGTCTGTGCCCCAAGTCCCCACCTGGGAAGGAAAATGCCAACCTTTAGGAAGGGCGAAAGGGTGTGGCCTCGTGACACTCCCCTTCTTCGAAAAATGAAGAAATACAATGATAACATTGAGTAACAGTAAGAGAATATCTGTTACATCTGAGTAGTAGGCAAATGGTTGTGTGCGTTCTCTCTTTTATCATACAACTACTTTACAATTAAAATTTTAATAACAAGAAAAAAAGAGAACTACGAAAAGAAGGAAAGGCTTATTTACATATGAGAAGTGAAGGGGGCAGGTGAAGAAGGTGAAGAACTGAGAATGAATCCAAAATAAATGGCATTTTGGCTTTTTCCTTCTACGATACAGACTTTTCTAATGAGTATGAATTACTTATATGAATCTCAATCTAAGATGGCACACAAATAAAACGTACAAATAGTGCTTTTTTATTTGAAGTGAGCCTTTATAATGACTAACTGTATTTAAAGAGCACCATTATCAGAAAAAAATCGTGCTGAGTATCCCACCACTCACAACCAGGAACGGCCAAGAAATGAGACAAAGCCAAGGCTGAGGCGGCCGTGGGACACTTTTCCTACTCAGAGTAGAAGCTGTGCATCCCAGGGAACAATTCCCACGGTGAATGTTGGAGCAATTCCTGCAAATTATACATAAATATATATATATATACATATATCAGCTTATTTTCACACCGCCAAGTGTCAAAAAAGTACTTAAGATTACACTCAATTGTTAGAAAATGTGCAACAGCCAACTGGGATTGACATAAAAATACTTCCATACTTCCTACTTCCATATCATAAAAATATGGCTTTAAAGAAATTTTCATATTAATTTGCAAATTATTATTTAGCCTGAGATTAATATTTCTTCGTAGAATGTATTCTACAGTGGGTTGAAATGACCAAAAATGGAGTTTGAAAGAAGGCCCTTCACTTCAGCAGGTTCTAAGGCACATCTCAATGTGCAGGCTTCACGGGCAATGCTTTATACCTACTGCCGTGTATGTGCGCCTCCTTTCTCTGCTGGCTGCTCACAGACACTGCTTTTAGTCCGGTTTAGAATCATGCTGCAAACACTGACCACCAATGATGCAAAATAAAATGCAAAAAACACTAGGAAGCGCAGCCTTATCCTTCAACTTTGACCAATGGGAATCTGGTTATGAGGAAGTTAAACGACTAGCTTCAATTTCATGAGGGCACCCTCCCCAATATGCCATCTCTGAAGTCAGGTGGTTCCCCTTAGAGGAAGAGAAGGGGTGTAACAGACAATAGGGACTGTCCTGGGACCCTGACTGGCACTGTCACCACTACATCACACACTATCTTTAGGACCAGTCAGTGGGACATTAAGAGACAACATGTATCCAGGAACTACTAAAAATCAGATACATGTATTTGATCTTTAAAGGAAGCCTGCAGAGAAGGCATCATTATCTCCATCTGAGAAATGAGAAAAGAAAACAGATATTAAGCAACTTGCCTGAGGTCACACAGTCAATGGGTCCCAGGATTTCAGGTCCCCTCTGTCCAAAACTGAAGTCCACGGTCTGTCTTTATCCTAAACCAGGAGTCCCACATTAAGTCTCAACAGGCAGGGTGTGCTCCCCAATCCAGAAAATTAATTTGAAGCCCACCTCTCTCTGGTTCACTTGGAAACGACACATATTTCCCACCTTTTCATGGCCAATCAAGCTTTCTGAAAATCTCTTCCTCCACCTCACACCTGGGTGAGCACCAGGAAATTGTCTTAAAATGCCCAACTACACAAGGACTCAGTGTTTAAGCAAAACTAACACTGGCAAAATGAACTCCAGAGAAAATGAAAATCAACACTGTGTACTTTACCTGGGCCAAAATAAAAAATTGAGCATCTTCATCTACTATTTTAAAGCACCCCTCCTCGGGCCTCAGTGTCCTGGGGTAAAAAGCCACCTCTTGATAGGTGGGAATGGAGGTGTGAAGAAGAAGTGTGAGGACAGGAGAGAGAAGGGAGACTGTGGGCACCCCTGCGGGGGGCAGAGCACAGCCCCAGGGACACCAAGCGCCTTCTAGGAGCACTGCAGAGAAACAAGCGGAGCATTGTGTCTGGGGAAACGCCAGAAACGATCCTTGGCAGACCTCAGAGAATCACTATGCAAAGAAAGAAACCTCTTCTTTGATACCTCCAGCCTTGCTTCCAGCTTCCACTTCTCTGGAAGGGGGGTCGAGAAGGTGAGGCAGTGGGGAGGTCTGATGGGGGCCAGGGCGGAGGCAGGGGTCGGCGCACCTTCCTGTCCCAGCCAGCCCTGCCCACAGAAGGAGCGAGCAGAGCAGGCCACGGGAAGGCTGGGGTCCAGGAGGTGCCGCAGAGCAAAAACCACAGAGACGGAGGCCTTCAGGACACGGAGAAGGCAAGGGTCCAGCAGTGCTGCCCTGAAAATGCTGGCTTAAGAACCCATGTGGAGCTGCGACACTAGTTCCCTTACACCCCAGGCCTTTAGGAGGGTCGTTTTCTTCTCATTCAAGTGGAACGCGAGGCTCTGAGTTGACATCCCAGAGGACACGAGACGGGGGGAGGTGAGGTGTTTTACAGAAACAGAAAACAAAAAAAAGTTTCCACGGCCACATAGTTTTGGAAAACATTGCTTAAAGCATCATATTTAGAAATATTATACACAGAACGAGAGATTTATAATCACAGTTGATGCTTTTTGGTTAATTAAAGAATGCAAAGGTGCTTACAAGACAATCTCATTGACTCACTTGACCAGCGACATGCCTGGGCCCGTGGACAAAGCACAACCTGCCCGTGGTCCTGTGGCTGGCTGGCTAGCAGCCTGGCCACACCACAGTGTGGAGCTTCTGGCCCCAGCTCAAGCTCAGCACTCTTGCCCACAGACTCTCGTATGGATCAGGGCCTGGGGGTCTACCTCAAATAAGGAATTTGCACTTTGGGGAAGAACACAAGCTCTAGAGCTCACGACAGACAGGATGTGCATTTCTCTGCCTCTTAAATAGCATCAAGCCAACGCCCATTTCATTTCCAAAACGGGTGCCCCAGGAAAAGAGCACCCGACTTCACTGGATCTGATAACCCAGCCCCTTTCTCTCCATACTCCCCCAGTGAAGTGGAGCCTTCGGGTGAGCCCGTCCCCACCAGGACTGCGCGTGCTGACTTACCTGTGCTGGGCATGTGGTTCACGCGGGCAGGGTTCAGCAACTCCACTGGCTGGTCTCGGCCAGAAAGTCCATCTGGAGGACAGAGAAAGCATTTGGCTTCAGAAACTGCTCGCATTTCACTGAACATACTTGATACTCACAATCTTCAAGGAGCAACTCCTTGCAAACAATGGAAATGCGTGTGTCCTTACTTTTAAAGGAGAATGGTTTTAATTCCATCACAGGTTATTTTTACTTGCTGAATCAGAATATGAAAGCCCCTTCGTATAGAATAACCAAAACAGTCCTCAACAGAAATACAGCAACACTGATTTCTGGCCTGGAGGGCATCTGGCTTAACTGTATTGTTTTACTTCAGTTTAGCAACCACATTATACTTACTTGTGTTTATCAGAAGTCCGCTTTTCTGCACAGACCACAAGCACTAAGATAATAAAAACAGAAGAGCTACTTATTCTGTTCCCAGATACTGACCAAGGGCCCGGGTGCTAACAGAAATACAGCCCCGGGCGGCCCAGGCCTGACAGCTGCGGGGTGTGCTTGCAGGACAGCCAAGGAAACTGACTAAGACACACAAATATGCTTTTAGGGAAGAACTCGGCCAGGTACTTACAAGTTAAGGAATCATGTCTTTTAAATCCACTTTTAGATTCTACTCAGGCTCTGCTTCTATCTTCAAACTAACTGCAGAGCTGGGACTGGAGCCCATCCACACCTGCACCTGGAGCAGGCTGCACTGGGACTGCCCGAGAGCATCCATATTCTCTCAGACAGAAGAGAAAGAAAGCTCTGGCAAAACTTCCAGGAATCACACTTTTCTTTTAAAATTAGCTCTGACAAGTGGTGTAACATGGCCTACAATGGCAGGCACGTCATCACAGACGCTGATGTGGCGGTCATTCTCATTACTGGTTTCACAGAGCAGCCATCAGCTCCCTTAGCCAGACTTTCAAATCGTGACAAAAACAAATAATATCAGGTCTACGGACTCTGTAATAAAACCTTGCTTTTTACCCCAGATGGATAATACCTTAGCTGCCTTCAAATTTAGTGTTACACAACCCCTGGTGTCTTTGGAGATGTGCAAAACCCAGGGGCAAAAACAATGACCCTGAGATCAAAAAGTTCGCTCTGAGGGGCCAGCTCGGTGGCGCGAGCGGTTAAGTGCGCGCGCTCCGCTGCAGCGGCCCGGGGTTCACCGGTTCGGATCCCAGGCGCACACCGACGCACCGCTTGTCAGGCCATGCTGTGGCGGCGGCCCATATAAAGTGGAGGAAGATGGGCACGGATGTTAGCCCAGGGCCAGTCTTCCTCAGCAAAAAAGAGGAGGATTGGCAGATGTTAGCTCAGGGCTGATCTTCCTCACACACACACACACACACACACACACACACACACACAAAAGTGCGCTCTGATGGGCCCACCCCGTGGCTTAGCGGTTAAGTGCGCGCGCTCCGCTACTGGCGGCCCGGGTTCGGATCCCGGGCGCGCACTGACGCACAGCTTCTCCGGCCATGCTGAGGCCGCATCCCACATACAGCAACTAGAGGGATGTGCAACTACGACCTACAACTATCTACTGGGGCTTTGGAGGAAAAAAATAAATAAATAAAAATTATTAAAAAAAAAAAAAAAAAAATAGTGCGCTCTGAGATCTGAAGACCCTCCCAAGGAAGGGAGGGAAGGCAAGGCGTGAGGCCTTCCAGGTGCCTGCCACCGAGGGCTGCGTGAGTCACACTCACTATGCCCATGGGAGAGGGACGGGCGGCTTGGGCTGTCCGCCTGCAGCGAGAGCTGCTCCGTGCAACTCAGAGAACCGAACAGTAGGGTCTGGAGTCTCCTCTCCCATAACCAGCAACGCCCTCCCCAATTCTGGCAACAATGGTATTAAAATAGCTACAAGAAGACACAAGGCATTTGGGGATTAAGACAGTCCAGAGTCCAGGCCCCTGAAGTCAGGAGAGGGACGGACAGGCCAGAGCTCTGTCTTGGATGCAAACACCAGGTGCAGACAATCACCCCAACTATTTGCACGGAGGGCTTTTCTCAGGAACACGACCAGCCCTGAGACCGCCTGAGCCTGAACCGTGAGCCCACGCCCGTCGTGTGAGCACCTTCACTGCCCCCAGAAACAGACCTCGGGACTCGGGTGGGAAGTTCTTTTAAACCTTTTTTCCTAAAAATAAATACATGAAATTTATTTCATTTATAAAAAATTCAGAGAAGCATATACATATTTTAAAAAATCCTAACCCCACTGTAAACACTTTCAGAAACACCAAAAGGCACTTTTGAAAATCCTAATCTAGCTGCAGTTTTCCGATGGGCAGGGGTCAGAAGCAAGGCGCATGCAAAACCATCCTCTTCAGGGCTCCGCACTGGGATCTGAGGAAGCCCAGAGCATTCTTTGTGGCTCCCACCAGCCAACATGTGTCCCTCTGAACGGCCCTCCTCCACGGTCATTTCCTCAATATCCACCCTTAGCTTCCAACTGAGGGAAAGCTCTAGAACCAGAAACAGTTTAGAAACCCAGAAGCCAGCCCAGTGTCCTCATTTTACAAATGAGGAAACCCTGGCTTCCAGGGGCAGTTAGAGGCAGCACTGAGGCCAGCATCCTAGCTCATGTAAAGACCTTTTCTGGAGTTTGGGATTGAACTGCTCATGCCCGCGCCAAGCCCTGCAGGTCTAACTACTCCAAAGCCACACGCACAAACAAAGCATAACAAACACGTTACTTCTACCCACACTAAAGCAGGAGATGCATCAGATCTCAATGCAATCTATTCCGAGTGTTAAGGATACGTGGTGTTAGTGTACTCAAAAGTATCGCCCACGTGTTTTAACTCAATGTATGGCTTAGCTGAGTCAGCTCACAGGAAATTTCTGGGCACTAGACTGGAGTTAAGTCCCAGTTAGTCATCAGAAATAAATTAATCGTATATACGAACTAGCTGGCACACCAGAAAACCCCACCGTTTGATAAGAGCATGATGGATTCCGTATGTAAGCCTGAAGCTTGACACGCCCCATCTGGTTCAGGGAGAGGGACACCACTGGGGCTGGCTGGCACAACACCCTGTAAATTCAAACCCCGACCCTGACATTTTCACATCCTTGTGGAATGATGTCAGACTTAGGAAGATCTGGACTGAAAACTATTCTGATTTGCATTAGGTTAATATTAAGCACCCTGCCTCTCCAGAGAGAAGCCAGCGTGTAAAACTGTCTGAAAACAGCAGGAGGGTCTCTGAATACATAGGCACCACAGAGGGACCATCACGGGCATCGGCCTGTCACCCGATACTTGCAGCACAAAGCCGGAAGCAGCCTGAGCCCTCAACAGCTGGAAATACTACCAGCAGCCCTGCGCTGTTCTCTCTCCCTGCTCCTCCACAAATCACTCATTCACCCAGACACCATAAGCAGACTCCACGTTACTCATTCTGAAAGGAGGGTTACAGAAGCCAAAAAATAGGTATTTTCACAGAAGTAGAACAGCGATGAGCAGGCCCCACCCCACAGAGCTGAGCAGCACCGGAGTGCCCGGGAGGCGTCTCTGGGCAGAAGCAAGCAATAGCACAGTCCCCAAGCACAGACTGGGCACAGGAAGGTGGGGCACAGAGAAAGGAATGGGTTCCCGGGCGTCCAGACAGGCATCAGTACCTCCCAATACTGGCTCCACAGTCCTACTGTTTGCTGGTTTGGGTGCCCAGACCGCCAATCGTGGGTGTATGGCCCTCAGCATGTGGTGAGGACCCCAACATCACAGGGCAAAGACCCAGGCTTGGGGCCACAGGAAGCACAGAGGCGTGCAGGGTCCTCCTCTAGCCTCTGGAGGATTCAAGTCTAATCACCGAGAAAAGATGTGCCGACTCCACAGAATGCCTGCAGTGGGGCCGTGTGCGCGCTGGGGATGCACAGCACAAACGCAAAAGTAGGAAGACAAGAAAGTTGGCCGCGTTGATGAAAGTGAAGCAGCATCGTTGCTCTGCATCACAGGGACCAGAGCTGGTGACAAATTCAACCGAGGGCCTTACAAATCCAATTCCATACCTCAGTTCTCGTAAAACAAGCTTCAAGATGTGCAGCTGGACAAAGTCCTGAGACAGAGCAGGCATACAGAGAGACTGCATTTGAAGGAACAGGGGCTACAAGGGCTGAGAAAGACAGTTTAGAACCCAGATCTAAGCACATCGCCAGCACATGACCACGTAGACACGGCAAAGAACACCCTTCACCAGGAAGAAATGACAAACGGTGAGAATACAGCCACGTGGCATATGCAGCAGTGCCCAAGATGACACTGAGATCCATGAACCTACACGGAATTGTTTCTTAATGTTACATTGCTTCAGACGCCATATTCCAGAGTGAGCTAACACGAAATGAGTAACGAGAAGTGTAATTTCCACATTTATCTGCCTCTGTTGAAATTTCTAACACTGGGGAAAAAGCAGTGGTAAGAAACTAAACACTTACACGCAAGGAGATAAGGAAGAAGGGAATCAAAGTACCACTTCCTCTCGGGCCATGAAGCACCCGCTGCAAGTAGGCTTCCTTCCTAATCTGTGTCCACTTGAGAATCTAATTTTGGAAACTCCACTGTATGGGACTGTGTACTTCATGTCCTCAAATGGCATTTGAATTAGCTCAGGGAGTGGAAGATGAGCTGCATATGCAGAAGGGGAGAAGCTGGGAGCACGAGTGTCCTCCGTGTCCCCTTCACAATGTGACTCACCATGAGTGTGCACACAGCACACGGTCACAATGCAAATGGCGCTACCCGAATCACGCCTGCAAAGAAACAGCGTGGTCAGCTTCGAGATTACAGGATCCAGCTTAAACATGACGGTTCACTGTAATTCAGCATCCTCCCCATGGACAGCACAGCTGGCTTTCAGAATTCCACTCTGTATGACATGCAGGGGGGTGTAGCTAACGAGAATCATGGCCTTGGTTGCCAAAGGAACCTTTCAACTCGCCTGGCCTTCTCCCCTCCTTCTACACATGGGGAAACGGCCCTGCAGGGCTGAGCAATGTACCCAAGACAATGCAGTTGGTGCCCCCAGAAC